TCATTTAAGAATTGTGTTGCATTAGAAAAATCTAAAGGCTATGACTAAAATCATCAACCAAAGTAAAAAGATAATGTGATCCTGCATGAGATGGAGTGGCATAACCACCCATAGTTTATAATGAATAAGTTGAAAATGAGCAGTAGTAGAAGTCAAGCTATTAGGAAAAGAAAGCGGGACTGTTTTGCCTTAGAGCATACATGACAATGATAATTATTAGAGAAAAAAATGTTTGAATGTTTTTAAATAAGAAAATATAAGCGAGCATGATAAGGGTGATCTATGCGTCAATGCCATAGATCCATGGGGTTGAACTGTGAACTGGGGATGCAAAAGGGAAGTTGAGATAGAGAGTCAATTTTTTTTGGAGAGTTGGAATAAAGAGAATGGGGTTTTGATATAACTTGAGACTATGGAAGCTGTAGCTGAGTAAAAGACCGTGAAATTCACTAGATAGCAGTGAATTGCCATGAGTTTTACCATGAGACAATGAGGAGAGAAAACCTATGCCGTTTCTTTCTCTCCCCCCTCCCCCACCCCCCAAAACAAAAAAAAATATAGAATGTAAAAGCAAGGAATGGAACTCACGGTTCACAGGATGCAGTATTCATAAAGATGATGAAATTTGTAACTGGCAGGATCAATGACAACCATGTTATGTTACCATGTGAATTTTTGGAGCAATTCCTATTGGAACCATTTTTCCATGCATTGTATTACCCAATCGTAGGATATTTGTAGTAGATACAAGATGTTGCAATCCCTTGATTGTCGGTATCTATCTAACAAAAATGAAATATACACAAGCTTATCCAACTAGATTAGAAAGTGTACAATAATACAAAATTTGAATTTCAATATTTGAATTTCACCTCAAAAATTTTGGTAACACCCAACAATTTTGAACAATTAAGATCTAAGTGCCTTGGAACTCAATCCCATATACTCTATGGAAACACTGCTATATAACTTTAAATTGGAATTTTAAATCTTTTGCCAAAGGGAGTAGATGTAGAGCGTGATCTAATAAAAACATACTATACATGTTTTAAGTACATGACATGGAAAACTTAACCTAAATTGAGACCAAGTCCCTTGAATCAGAGCCCAAACATCTACGAGCGCACGTCACAGTGGCAATGGGCAGGGCCAGCTTTGGTTTCCCATAGGACTGCATACCAGGGCCAAGGCAAAAACAAATGGAAAAAAAAAAAAAACGAACCCAAAAAAAAAAACAAAAACTAGAGTTGGCCAGCAGCAGCCCTAGCTCGGCCTTCAAGCCACTGTTCGTGGCCCATGCCTACTTTTTTAGGGCTGGGCCAACCGGGCCAGGCCCATTGCCATCTCTAACTACACGTCCAAGACATTAACTTGCGTGAACCTTGTAAAACCTAACTCATGCGTCTAATATTATTCATGCATCCATTAAAGCCCTCACCACGATTCAGATCTCTCTCTCTCTCTGCCCATTCATACATCGCTGGCACAACTGGAAAAAACAAATCTCCTTAGTTATCCCATTTCGATACATGCATTATGACTATCTCAATTAATTTTGAAATAAAAACCGTCTAATTTCGAGGTGATGAGGACTCGGGATAATAACTGTTGTATGCCGTTGAAGTTATGTGTATTGTTCCTTCTTATGTAAGTTCATGTTTCCTTAACTAAACTAATTATATAGTTATACACAAACACACACACAGGAAGCAAGTGCATTATAGACACAATGTGCGTAATACATATAGTATGCACACTATTCTACCCTTGTTTGCTGTGGACATACTATAGTCCCGACCGACCATAGCCCCCTACCTCGTCCCCAGTTGTCCGCCAAAAGGGGATTCAAGCATGTAGTGGACATCAGCTAATGGTAGGGGCCTATAATCCCCCAATGATCTACCCATATATATATATATATATATATATATATATATATAAAATAAAATAAAAGTAGATGATAAGAACAATTTACCATTCAAAAACCCCAAAAGATATTCTACTCCCTGGAGAGTATACTGCTGATTTACTCCCTTGGGGTCTCCAAAGTTTAGAGATATGACATCTTTAATACATAGATTACCCTTAATAAAACATTTTTCTAATTGTACCCTCTAACCACTTAAAAAAAATAATGTTGCAACATAGAAAAGAAATCGTCCAATTTTAAGAGGGTGAGATCCATGTGTTAGAAAAGACAATTTTTCTTTTTTCTTTTTTCTCTTTTTTTTTTTTTGGAGAATAATCATATGGTGATTCTCAAAATTTCAGTTTAATCAGAATCCTCCAAAATAGAGTAGAAGCAAACTAGGTTCTTGAGAGACCATAGTATACGTGCTCAAAAGAAAAAAAAAAAATCAGCTTGTTATGGTTGTGAGGAAAGTAACCACAGGCTTTAGTATATGTGTATAGTTTGGTCAGCAATGGAATTACTTTATAATAAGGCAAATTGTAATTTGGTCCAAACCACATTTCAATAGTTCCATGGAAATCGAATAGATCCCAAATATAATTAGGGTTTTTTCACGCTACTGCACTCATGGAGTAAACCCTGGGCGTGCTCTACAATCATTCCTCCTTTCAATTCAAAACACGATATCTTCTCGGGTAAATAATTTACAGACTGGAAAAAATTTCTGAAGTTATGTATTGCCTGATAATTTGGTAAATTTTACTTGGAGATCCCTATTTTTCACATTTTTTATTTCAGTTTTGCCACCATATTTTAGCTTTTTTTCCTATTTTGGTGGTTTCTGAACGTGAGACTCTTCTCTAAAATCTATTTTGGAGATGGATCTTGGATTCAGAGTTTTAGTGAATGAAAATCTAAAGTATGATGAGTAAAAATCTGAGAAAAAAAAAATGGAAATAAAAAGACTGAGATATTTATATAATTTTAACAATATGAATTTTAAATTTTTGTGTGCCTAATAATTTTTAACATTCATATGAGAGATTGATATTTAATGCATCAGAGACGCTATTGTAGAGATGCATCACAAACTACTTTCCTTGCATGTATCCTTGTTATTATATATTAACATGAGAAGAAACATTTTTTTAAGAGAAAAAGAACAGTTTTCTTAGGGGGAGATTACTTTAAAGATGAAAAGATGATTTATTGAAGCTTTTTTTATTACTAGTTAGAATAATTTTCACATCGGCTAAGTGTATTAGGGCACTCGAAATCTCGAGACATTAGCATTATATAATTAAAGGGATACCGCTAAATCCAATCAAAAGATATTGTTCTGGTGCCAGAAACCCTGTGATGGCCTAAAAATTTATTTCTACACCTAATTATTAAACTTAGGGATCTAACAGTAATGAAAATTGAGCATATCTATAAACAATTGAAAATTATGAAAACTGATGGGAAATAGTTTACAACAAGATCACTATTTTTATAACTTGAAATCGTTTTCTTTTTCACATACATAAACATTATTTATAGAAAAAATATAGAAAGAAATTATTTACTTTTGGTACATAGAGGTCACAATTACTCTTGTCCACTAAATTTCAAAACAGGTGGTCCTAAGAATGCCGTTGACTAGATTCCAAGTTGAATTTTTTTTCTCAAACTTCCTGACACATCTAAAGCTATCCAACTTGATATCTAGTGGCTAGGAGTAATTGTGACCTCCTTGTATAATAGATAAATGATATCAGAGTATGTGTAAAACCTACCATATGCTCCGGACTTATTTTCTATTGCCCTTCCAACTGTCTGATTTCCACCAAATGGTTGAGAATGAGTATTAGTTAACAATTAAGTTTTGACTGAAATTTTGAGAGTATATGCATCTTGTTTGGCTGCAATTAAAAAAAAATAAAAAATATTATTTATTTGAAACTAAAATGACTAAAATACCCTTACTAGTTAAGTATGTTTTTATTTTTTATTTTTTATTTTTTTACGGCCCAAAATTTGAGATCAATCTATTTTCTAAAAAAAGGCAATATTCAAACAAAATTCCTATACAAGCAAGTATGAAATTATTAGTAAGTATCTGTCGGTAAGAAAGAATAGTCCTCCAGAATGGAGAGAGTGAGGAGCAAAGATAGAGTGTCTGGTAAACTTTCCTCATTTCCAAATCCGCGTGGCTATCCCCATTTAATTGTAGTAAACCAAACACTACACATACATTTAACCCATCAACAAAACCACTCAAGATACATCGTACTTAATTTTCAATCAACCAGGCATGCTAAACCAGACCTAGAAATAAAAGAAAATACACAGGGTGGCAATGGGCCGGGCCGCCCTGTTCTGGCCCTTGTCTTAAATGAGCCAGGCCAAAAATAAATGAAAAAAAATAAAAGGAAAAATAAGAAGCGAAGAGGGCCGGCTAATCTGAACCCATCCAGCGCTGGCCTAAGCAGACCAGCCCAAGCCCCAGTTTTTAAGGGCGTGACTCTCCGGCCCATTAGCAGCCCACGGAGGCTCTTTGCGTAAATATGTGCGCTGCATGCAATAGTGGGAGATATTGTAGGAAACCATTATTTCCTCCTAAAGTTTGCCTTTCGTTATACCCCAAGTTTTTTGGACAAGTGTCAAAACCTGTCCATGGTTTCAAACACAGTTGGGTAGAGAGAGGTCATGGCGTTGCAGAGAGAGAGGGAGTGGGGCATAATTCTTCATCGTGTTCCAGAGACAAAGACAAGGGGCACAGTAGTTTGATGTGTAGGTTAACTGAGAGAAAATACAGTTGCTTGCAGTGGGTTAGAAAGAGAGGGAGGAGCAGTAATGGAGTCTCTAGGTTAAAGAGAGTAAGAGGATGAGGGACTTTTCTTCCCGTCTGTGTCCTTACTATTCTCGTGTTTTTATTTTACTTCTTCTCTTTGGCGTAATGGCGCTTCTTCTTCTCCTTGTATCTATTTACTGTTTTCCATATTCGTCATCTCGGTTACGACCCGTCGATGATATTTCATTTCGGCTACCCTATTCTCAAGGTTTTGTTGTTGAAGTAAATCTTACAGAGAAAGAGAAGAACGATTTCTCCATTTTTGATGCTCTCAATGATACAACTACTAGAACCAGATCAAATATTTCCAGAACAAATACTTCAGAGACTGGGGTGAGTATTTTGATTATGTAATTACGCTTTTTTTCCACGTTAAAAAAATTATATTAAGTAGTTCTTTTTTCTTTTTATATATGCAGAGAGGGTTCAGTTATTTTTACAGCGTTTCCCTCTTATGGATATGAGTTCTGCTTATTTTTGGTTCTTTTTTTTCTTTGACTTCGAGTCTCAATTATTTTTTATTTACTGTGCAAAATTGTTTGCAGATGTCTTTCTTGTACTGTCTTGGACAAACTCCATTATACACCTTTTGTTTCCATGGTTCTGGGACTCACGGACTCGGACGAGTTCCACTGAAACTCGCCACTGTAGTCTCTTAAAAAAATATCAAAAATAAGAAAATGCCAAAAGAGTTGAAACATCACTATATTAATTAGAAATAATTTTTTTTTTTTTTTGGTAGTTGTAATGGTTTTAAGATGATTCGAGAACTTCCATTTATTTTTCTTTATTAATTCTTTTTGAAATATTTAGGTTCTAAATCAAAATTTTCAATAACCCAAACTTCTAATGGTAGTTATTACCTCTTTTAAATGTTTTCTTATTTTTAATTATTTTTCAAAATTTTTAACTCTATTTATCTCTGTTTTTTGTTGCACATAACTCAGAAGAGTCCACTTGACTTGGCTAAGGGCTGAGTATCCTGGCTGAATCGATTTTCAAAACACTGTTTGTTTCTATTGAATTTTTTTTTTTTTTGGGACAATCCCATACCTTTTAATTCTGTGAATTGGCAATAGAAAAAGGGAATAGGTTTCAATTTTCCTTTTTATTATTCTAATGCCACGGCTTTTTTATGGCCCCATTTCCAATGTTCCACAATCCACCAGATCTGCACCAATTTGGAGTTTCAAATTCCACTTTCAAAGGTCAAGCTAAATTGTGAAACTCTGAAAATTGACTAAATTTTATGTTCTTCACGGATTAGCCATTGGTATCTACTATAACCTAAACAACTGAAAATGAGTCCTCGCATCACTAAGTAGTTTGATTTATGGATGGATGTGGCGCATTAGAACATGTGTAAACAGTCCATTTAACTCCCTACATTTTCTCATAATTTCCTCCAAATTGAAGCCTTCTCTTTATGCAGGGCGCGAGCAACTCGAAGAAGGTTGAAGTAGTTCCTTTGTTGAGTAATGTAGGTATCCCTAAAAGCATAATGAAGCTTGAAGCTGGCCTATCAAAAGCAAGAGCCGCCATAAGAGAAGCCACCTTAAGTCATCGGAATCGGACACCAATCGAAGACCCTGATGATTATGCCCCAAAGGGCGGAATCTATCGAAACTCATATGCATTTCATCGGTAAATGATTTAACAATTTGTACAGTCACTAATATTTCATAAATCTAGAAAGCAATTAGGATTGTTCAGATAAATAAGTGAAGGAACCGATCCTCTATCACCCTTTCGATTTTTCTTGATGGGGTGCTATTTTTCTTACCTTTAGGAGTCAATTTAGTGAACCATACTAAATTAGAGAAAACAATTTTGTTTGGGAAATGTGGGAAAGTAGCAATATTGCATCGATTTCCCTTCATTACAAATGCGGACCCATATTTTCTTCTTATGAGTGCAGGAGTTATTTGGAAATGGAGAAAAGGTTCAAGATATTTGTGTATGAAGAGGGCGAGCCGCCTTTAGTTCACAATGGGCCCTGCAAAAGCATATACTCCTCCGAGGGCATATTCATTCACGAGATGGTTCTTGGAAATCGCTTTCGAACCAGGTCTCAGGAACGCGCCCATGTGCATTTCCTTCCATTTAGTGTGGTGGCGATGATACAATTTGTGTATACCCCTAGTTCCTTCGATCTTTATCCTGTTAAGAACTTGGTTGCTGATTACATAGATGTCATCTCTAAGAAATATCATTACTGGAACCAGAGCCTTGGGGCAGATCATTTCATGCTCTCCTGCCATGACTGGGTACTGCTGCTTTTTCTTTTTTTTTTACTCTTTGTATTTTTTTTTCTTTTTTCATTTCCATTTTCAAGAGTTTTTCTTTGGCGAAATAGTATGCTGTGGAACATGACACATAGCGACAACATGGTATATGCCATCTCTACCATCGAAACCTAACAATGGATGGCGAGATGAGCAATTCTGCTTGACTGGACAATGGCAGGACAACTGCTCATCTCCCCCATTTTTATTGAGCACGCATTTTATTAAAGAATTCGATGAAATGCAACAAATTGTTAGTATGATACATGTATGATGGAATACTTCCTTTCCTTTACTAATGTTGACTTCAGTCTCATGGAGATTCTTTCCAAGATGATTTTGTCAAAATTATGATTAATTTGAGCATATTGATAATCTATGATATGCTCGATGTCCGCGGGATCATCATCATCCAATTCAATAATGGATGGTGATGGAAAGTAGATTATACCCACTCGAATTCAAGTTTACTGTGGGAATACACATTCTAGTTTTGTTAGAAATTATATCTTCGTTTGGCAATTTTTTTCCTCATCTATCCTTTTTCCCATAAAAATTCAGGGGCCCCACACATCGGCCGCAAACCCCCTACTGAACAAGAATTCCATCAGGGTCCTCTGCAATGCCAACAGCTCCGAAGACTTTTACCCCCAGAGGGATGTCCCCCTGCCTGAGATCAACATCCCATCTGGCAGCATCGAAGGGATGCTTGGTGGCCTCAGGCCCTCGGCTCGCACAATCCTCGCTTTCTTTGCCGGTGGGGTTCATGGATGGATTCGGTCCATACTGCTCCAACACTGGAAGAACAAGGACCCGGATATCCAAGCCTTTGAATACTTACCTCATGACCTTTCGTACTGGGATATGCTGAGGAAGAGTAAGTTTTGCCTTTGCCCAAGTGGTTATGAGGTCGCAAGCCCGAGACTCGTCGAGGCCATTTACGCAGAGTGCGTTCCGGTTATTATCTCCGATCATTATGTGCTTCCATTTAGTGATGTTCTTAATTGGGCTTCTTTCTCAGTGGAGGTTAAGGTTGGGGAGATAGAGAGACTGAAGGAGATTCTTGAAGGGATTTCCATGGAGAAATATGTGAGGATGCAGAGGAGGGTAAAGCAGGTGCAGAGGCATTTTGTGGTTAATGAGCCTCCAAAGAGGTATGATGTTTTCCATATGGTTATTCACTCTGTTTGGCTAAGGAGGCTCAACCTAAAGTTGCACCTTTAGATTTCTCTTTTTATTTGATGGGAGAAATGCAATTATTCAATGGGCTTTCTCTAAGGGCCAATTCAATTCAGTTCATTTTACTGTGGCCTCACCATTTGATCAATTAAATAGAACAATGTAAAGAGCAAGAAAACCATACCATTAACCCCTCCCTATCTCTCTCTCATGTTCTCAAGCAAATGTACTACTGGTTTCTTTGTTTCCATATCTCAGCCCACTTCTTCATTGTTTATTGAGTGATTTACGTGCACGTTAAAATTTTAGGTAAAATATGAAATGCTCCACCTATATTTGGAAAACTTATGTGGAAATTACAAAGAAAGACTGTCAACCTATGATTTTTTTCTCTTTTTCCCAAAATTGCCTTTCACTCGACCTAAATTTTGGTAGGCCAGTGTCTTAAAGGTTGGGCCACTTTCCTACTAACGAAAAAAAAACAAAAAAAATCAAAAAATTCGAATCGACATAGGGGCAATTTTAAAAAAAATAAAAAAAAAAAGGGTTAACCAACCTTTGTAATTTTCGCCAATAAGCCAAGCATTTTGTATTTTACTTAAAATTTTAAGGTTGTACTTAAATCACTCTTGTTTATTTATTGTCGGACTTTATGCATCACACCAAATCATCCAATTTGATATGTGTGAATAGTTGTGACATCTTTGTACAAAAAGTACAAGAAAATTGTTTCACGTGGGCTGGTCTCCATTTCGATCTGATAGATGGAGATATGTTCGATCTCAAAGATAGATGTAGATATGGATGTAAATAGGTTGACCATCTAAAAAAGATAGATGTAGATATGTTCGATCTCAAAGATAGATGTAGATATGGATGTAAATAGGTTGACCATCTAAAAATAAAGCGTAACTAACCGTTTAAAAGTTTTTTAATATAATTATTATTTCTAGTTTCATTTTTTTCATATTGATGAACTTCATGGAAAAGATTATATATTCTCTAAAAATTAAAATCAAATTATATTTTAAAAATATATTTATTGCCAAACCAGCATGTCTACAGTGTGCTGGTATGCGGGTTTGCCGCATGGAAACCGTGTCCAGAAGTAAATGTCTCTTTGTGGACAATCCCAAAACATTTTGGGGACTTGTATGACGGCCTTAACATATAACTGCTTGAGGGACTCTTTGGAAGCAAGGTTTTGCGCTTTAGGTGGCCTTATTAGACTGTTTCTCTCTCTAAAATTATGAAATTTGAGATTGTTTCTCTTTAAAAATCTTGAGATGATTTATCAATCTAAGATTTTCAGGTAGTTTCCCTCTCTAAAATTTCATATAACTTTTTTTTAAAATTTTAAAATACTTTCTCTCTCTAAAACTTAAAATTAGAGATAGTTTCACTTTATAAAATTTTTAGATAGTTTTTTTTTGTAAAAATTTTTAGGCAGTTTTTCTCTTTAATATTTAGTAGTTTTTCTCTAAAATTTTGAGATATTTCCTCTCTTAAAACTTAAAGTTTGAAATAGCTTCTCTCTCTAAAAATATTCAAACAATTTCTCTCTAAAAATTTGAAAATTCAAATAGCTTTTCTCTCTCTAAAAATATTAAGATGATTTCTCTCTTTAAAATTTTTCATGTAGTTTCTCTCTCTAAAAGTTTAAAATATTTTCTCTCTCTAAACTTTCAAGTTTGAGATAGTTTTTTTCGCTAAATTTGTTTAGATAGTTTCTCTCTAAAAAAAATTAGATATAGTTTCTCTCTTTAAAATTTTAAGATTCTCTCTCTCTAGAACTTAATTTGAGATAGTTTATCTCTACAAAATTTTAGATAGTTTCTCTCTAAAAAATTTCAAGTAGCTTTTCTCTCAAAAATATTTAAAATTTCTATATACTTCATCTCTCAAAAACTTTAAAATTTGAGATAGCTTGTCTCTCTGAAAATTATGAGATAGTTTCCCTTACTAAAAATTTTCAGCTTTTTTTTCTAAACCTTAAATTTGAGATAGCTTGTCTCACTAAATTTTGAGATAATTTTTCTCTCTAAAAATTTTCAAGTAGTTTTTCTTTCTAAAATTTGAGGTAGTTTCTCTCTCTAAACAATTAAAATCCTTTGTCTCTTTAAAACTTAAAATCCTCTTTAAAACAATTTGAGATAGTTTCTTTCTTTAAAAAATTTAAGCATTTTTTCTCTCTAAAGTGAGATATAGTTTCTCTCTAAAATTATAGGATACTTCTCTCTATAAAAATTAAAACTTGAGATGGTTTCTTTATCTAATTTGGGGTGTCTTAGTGGAATTAATTGTATTTAATAAAGTGGACGGCTCTAGTGTGTGAAAATAAATCTGCATAAATATTTCCCCACCTCAAGGGAAGCGGTATTATTTTCACTCCAATTTGTGGTAAAATTTTTTACCATAGAAAAAAATTACATATTTATTAGTCACGTACGAACATGTAACTTAATTTTCACTTAGAAATATTTTGCATTAAAATATTTTCACATTTACCAAACAAATACTCCTAAATTACGTCCTCTCGTCTCCCCTTCGGCGGGCATGGGCGCATCACTCAGCCCCACCATATTGTGATCCCGCAGAAATATATTGCACATTTACTACCTTGGTCAAAACACCTAGATACATTGATTTTTTTTAATCTCAAATTTTTGGAACTATATAAAAATTAATTAGGGACTATTTTTAAAAAAAAAAATAATTTTGAGTTTTGTGACGCTTAGATCCTTCAAAAATTGAACGCTCTCTATTCAAACTTGAGGCATTATTTTCTTTTATTACACGAAGAGTGTATTTTGAAAACGTTTTTTTTGTTGAAATTATTCTATGCATCGTAGAGTTTACATCCCAAATTTTTTTTTGGAAAAGGTTTCTATACTTCCTCTAGCCCTACATCATAGAAGATCTATGCTTCTCCTATCATCCAGCTGTCCAATTTTGATCAAGAGAGCCACTCACCATTTGATTTTAGATCCGACATCTCAAAATATTTTTTTTTAGTTTTTTTAATATAAATTTTAAGAATATGAAATTTGGTACGTGTCATCTTCTTATTGGGGCACACTTATAAAAAAAATATTAAAATTAATATTTCAATAAAATATAATGACTAAAATACCCCTTAAAAATTTCAGGGGTATTTTGGTTATTTTATTTTATTAAAAATATTTTTCTTATATTTTTCACGAGTGAGAATTTAATAGAGGATTGGACGTACAAAATTTGGTGTCAAAATAGTTTACAGACAAGAAATTAAAAATAAAATAATGTAGAGATGTTACATTGTGATTGGGGCATTCTTAGCCCTCCTTTCAGAATGGACGGTTGGATAAAGAGAAGTATATACGTTTTATGTTGTAGGGGAAGCATAGAAAGCTTGCCGTCTTTTTCTTTTCTTTCTTTCCTTTTTTTTTTTCCTTTCTTTCCTTTTTTTTTTCTTTTTTTTTTTTTGAAAAACAATTACCAAAACATCCTAAAATTTTGAGATCTAAAAAGTATCCCCAGCGGGTATTTTGCCAAGGGAGTGAATGAATGATATATTCCCACAACGAAATTAGTGTGAATTTCTGTATGGTGTAGATGTATAAAAAATAGGGGGTGGTTTGTATAGAGCCGATGCTCTAAACTATCAAATTAGGCCTTCAAATAAAGTTGAGAAATATGGTTTCCATATAGGAAAGTTTTGTGATAACCCTAAATTATATATTCATCTTTAGTTATAAAATTTAAAGTTTAAAAAATAATGTAGATCGAGCAGATCTATGAAAACTTGAAAATCTTAAAAATTGACGATTAAAAAATGCGTTACAAGATCACTATTTCCAAAACTTTCAATGCATTTGTTTCTCATTTTCATGCATCTTGATGTCAATTTGATGATGTTTAGGCATCAAAACAACCTCTTCTAGTAAAAGTTTTGAGGCAGACTCGCCTAAGCTCTATATAAACTTTTCCCATAAAAAAATGGGGGTAGTTGAGGGAGTGGGGTAGGAAAAAAAAATTTCCACCAAAGGGGAGGGAGGTGGGCGTAATTTATGGAAAAAATCGACTCATCCTATAATAAATATTTTAATCCACCTACGGCTAATCGCCATTTAAGCTTCAAATTTAAGTTGCAATGGTTCACAAATGTGTCCAATACGCGCTCATCATAGAGCATGGCAATAATACTCCTTTTAAAACATTATTTTTATAGAATATTCTATTTTTTGAAGAAATATTTTTAAAGCTGTGACTTTCTAACTAGGGTGTGGTTTCTATAAGGTTTAAACTTTAAACAATCCAATTAAAACACACCTCCAAATTTTATTATAGCATATAATTTTGGTATAAAATTTTTTTAGGATTATCTGAAAATCTATTTTCATATTTAATTATAAAATTTTAAACTTTAAAAATAGTTAAAATCAAATAGATCTATAAGCATATGACAATCTTGAAAATAGACGGTTTAGATAATATGTCACAAGATGCACTATTTATGGGACCCAAAATCTTTTCTTTTTTCCATATTCATACATCTCGACGTCTCAATGTCGGGATGCCCAATTAGAGCGTTTTTTACCATTAAAACAACATTTTTCGATGGATTTTTGAGGTGCTTCTTAAATTCTACATTTTAAGATTGCAACCCCGTTTGGCCCTTTGTTTCTTTTCCTTTGATCCTCCTTTCAAGAGTATCAGGCACTCAGGCAGGTCTGGGCCAAGGCTTCTTCAACCAATCAAAACCGGGCGGGGCACAGACCAATTTAGGGACCAAGACCGGCCTTATTGCCAGCCTTAAGGATTTGAACCTGGCAGTGGGGTTGTAATTGTCATTATGCAACTATTATAGAGAAGGCGAATACGTGGACCTGCCGTTGATATTTCTGGGAAGAAAAAGCCTTCGATCTTTGGACTTGAGTCTCCAATATAACATGAGTGGATGAAAACCATGTCGTCTTGAGGTGGAAATCTTGGATAATTATACCCCAACAAACCTACCAAAAAATTATTGGGTAGTTTCATGGTAGGAGTCTGCATTCTTTAGT